TATTACGTTTAAATATTATTTTTTATGTGTCGGATCAAATTACCCTTTGCCGTCTTTCTAGTTATACTATTTTTTCCCTCTTTCTACCATAAATGATCCCAAAATGATGAAACACAGACTTTTGGATAAAATCACATATTATTTTATTCGCCACTAGGTTCCTGCCAGCGGCTTCACACGGTGTGTGGGCCTGTTTATACATAACAATAATAATAATAATAATTCTTTATTGAGTAACTACATAGCGTAACAAATCAATTTGCCCTGTCTCCCAAATTAGGTTGCCCTGTATGTCAGGAGTCAGTGCTCTCTTAAGTATTACATTTTGGCTTATGCAGACTAAGAAATGAAATACCAAAGGAACAAGAGAGATAAAAAATAAATAAGACTTTTATCATTTACAAATTATTCTATTAGGTTAACCATGCTAGAACCAGGTGTGTGTGTGTGTGTGTATATGTGTGTGTGTGTGTATGTTTATGTGTGTGTGTCTGTGTGTGGGTGTGTGTGTGTGTGTGGTTGTGCGTGTGTGAGTGTGTGTATTTTGTATGTTTAAATGGATATAAGTGAGTACCTATATCGTTGGATTACATTGTATATGAATGTGCCTAGTATTATAACTAATACTTTTTCTAAACCAAGACCAGATTTTCACATTCATGATAATCGAAATCTTTTAGCCATTTAAATACTTCTGCTTTAATGATGTAAGGGTTACCTGTTTGGATTTTGACAGCCTTGATGAATTTATTATAAAGACGAGGACCTTGGAAATTATAGTGACGTTTGGCAAAAACAGTCTTAACTAATGGTAATTTAAATAAATTATTTCTCTTGGTTACATTTAAAGAAGGTGTTGTCTTGTGATAGCGAGTTACACATTTCAATATGTAGGATTGTCGCACGCTTAAAACTTCTATTTTATTGTATACATCAATCGTAGGGTGCCTATAAGGTAAGGAAAGTGAAACCTTCAGTACTGCTCTTTGTGCACGTTCAACTTCAATTAGGAACGATTTGCAAGCACCACCCCATGAACAGATGCAATAGTTGATTAAGCAATGACACAGGGCGTTGTATATTTGTATCAGCTGTTCATGTTTTAGAATGGTTCTTAGGTTTTTGAACACAAATATAAAACGTCTAAGCCGGTTTGCTAAAGTAGATATGTGTTTGCTCCAATTTAATTTGCTGTCAATGAAAACCCCAAGATACTTAATGCAATTTAAGTTTTCAAATTTTGAGCAATTGCAATCAGTGTTTGATGTTTCGAGTGTATTACAGGGATGAGTATGTAAGATAATAGAAAAATTTTTAGGTGGTGCAGATCGAGCTGTTTTGTAAAAACATACACATTTAGTTTTGGAACTGTTGATGGTAAGTAAGCTGTTCTCCAGCCAATTAGTGACTTTACATAATCCCATTTGGACAAGATGTTGTACAGTATCCCAATTTGATCCACTGAATAAAATGACAGTATCATCAGCAAACATGAGCAGATCCGCATTTGACAGTTTAATTTGACATAATTCATTTATATATATTAAAAACAGGCTAGGTCCAAGAATGCTGCCTTGAGGAACTCCATAACTGCAAAAGGCTGGTCCACTCAGATGCTGATCGATACGTATTTTTTGAGTTCTGTTAGATAAATAGTCACTAAACCAAGAATGAGGTACTCCTCTGATGCCAATGTTATGTAGTCGAGTTAATAGCACAGGAATCGAAACCGTATCAAATGCCTTTTGCAAATCAAGAAAAATACCAGCACATTTCATGCCTTTGTCTAGGTAAGCTGTAATTTTAGTTGTTAAGGCAAGAACAGCATCCTCGGTGGAGTTATTTGCTCTGAATCCGAACTGATTATTATCTAAATATTCATTTTTTTCAAGATAAAGCATCAACCTTTTGTTAGCTAATTTTTCAAAGATTTTTGTTAAAGTGGACAACAGACATATCGGCCTATAATTATTAGGGGAAGTAAAATCACCTGATTTGTGAATAGGTATGACAATTGCTTGCTTCAACAAGTTTGGAAATATTCCTTTTTCGAAACTTAGATTACACAAATGGGCGATAGGTTCACATAGATATTGACTACAGATTTTAAAAAATGAAGCAGATAAGTTGTCCCAGCCTGGTGCACTCTTTGTTTTTAAATTTTGAATAATAATCCTCACTTCTTCTGAATCAGTCATAAATAAGGACATAGAGGCTACTGGGCCTTCTTTAGTGGCAAGTATAGCTAAGTCTGACTCATTTTTATTTAGTTTCAGAAGAGTGGTGTTAGCCAAGTTACTACCAATAGTTGTGAAATACCTATTTACGTCATTAAGAGCCTCAGATGGTGTATTATTAATTTTAAGTAATGCAGACGATGGTACTCGCATTTGATTTAAATTACCGATTTCTTTAATAAGATTCCAAGTTTCTTTTATATTACCCTTTCTTTTAACAAATTCTCTTTCAAAATACTGTTTTTTTAAGGTTTTTATTATATTATTACACAAATTCCTATAGTTTCTGTACAGAGCTCCTAAATCTTGATTAAGTGGTGATTTTTTAGCCTTTTGATGTAGCATATTCCTTTTTTTAATTGATTTAACAACGCCTCTAGTAATCCATGGTTTTAATGGTTTATATCTCTTTGAGATATTATTGGTAGTGGAATATTCATTAACTAATTCCTGAAGTTCCCTGACCAAAACATTTGTAGCGTAATTGACATCCTTGATGTTGTAAAACTCTTGCCAATCTTTTTCTTTTAAATAGTGTAGAATGAGTTCATAATTAAGTTTAATTAAATTTGTTGACTTATAGCTTTTTGTAATTTTTGCTTTTTCTATTTACAACAGTATAGGACAGTGATCGGTGAATTCGTCAAAAACAACCGTTTTAACAGATTCCCGACATTTGACTATAAAATGATCCAAACAAGATTCTTTTCTTGTTGGGATATCAATGCACTGTCTGAGCCCGTGATATGCCAACATATTAATATATTCAGCTGAGAACCCTATTATATTATCGGGCATTATATTAATATTGATATCTCCTGTTAAAACAACGTTACTGGTGTTGATATTACATAGTATGTCATGAATAGCATTTATAAATTTAGTGGGATTTCGATAACAAGGTGGTCTGTACGTGCATAATATAGAATATTTATTATTAATATCAAGAACCAGATAATTTCCTTCATCGTGCTGGGGCTCATAGCAAGTAGCAGTTAGGGTATTTTTGACGTAAGCAATTACCCCATCATTTTGGTTCAATTGACGTGTCGTTTTGTAAGAGTTATATGAATCTAGGGAAGGAATAATGGTAGTATTATCCAACCAGCACTCTGTCAGAACTATGACATCTATGTCAATGTTAATTTGAGTCAAAAATACAAGAAAAGCATCTATATTGCAATTAATACTTCTAATGTTTACAGTCACAATACATAAGTAATCCACTGAGTTTAAGTCGTGGTTAAGAACAGTTGAGCAGAGAGAAGGATTGAGTAATTTAATACAAGATACGTTAGGAGGACTATCCAGTTCATTCGTTATTTCGTGGTCAACTAACTTGAATTTTAAAAACTAAAAATGTAACAAGACAATACTCATAACGATGGGCACATTCATTTCTGTGTAGCTGTGGCGTGAGTGGTGAGCTTTCTGTTTTAAATATGAAGTGTCTAATGAATTGGGCAGTGTTGATTGAATTTGTGTTTTTAAATAAATATGTACATATGTTTTGCATGGCTTGCATGTATGAGTTTACATTTTGATTGTGACTGGTTCTTCTTTCCTTAAGTACGACTAGTCAATTATGGGGATTCAGTGCCTTTATATCAGAATCATTGTCAATACGTATTAATGGAGCTCCATCTTCTTTGCGTAGAAATATTTTGCCATAGGAGGTCCAACAGTATTTAAATCTCTGTTGAGACGCGAGTTCTCTAGATAACTCTACATATAAATCGATTTGTATTGTGAATATTACTTTTTATATTAATCAAAGTCAAAAAATTACTTTTAATTTAAGATGTAAGAAACACTTTTGACCAGAGATTTCCAAGCTTTGATTTTTTCATACATAAACATGTTAACTTGGTGGTGGAAGGTGGTGCTAATTTTAAACTCCTAAATCTATATTATTTTAATTGATATTTCTATTGAGCTGTAATAATGCACATTTGCCGTGCTAAGAATCATGTGAACCCCAGACATCCAGGGTTAAGCGGGTCATAGGTTGGAAAACGCTACTGGACAATTATTCCGAATTATGAAGTTTATCAAAACAACATATTACCAATTCGATAAAAAATATTTTTTGGTGTGTTGTGGACAAATTTACATAATTTTGCATAACGTTTGCTAAATCCGTCATAGAGATCTTAAAGATATAAAATTGAATGTATGATTTGGAATTTACAATAAAATTTAAATAATTTTCCCCTATAAATGTAAGTACATTTTGGGCGGGCAGTGCATAAGTGTATCGCAAGCTGCTAATTTCAGCGTTGATTCTGCTGAATACTTTAATTTTATAGTTATTATAACAGACTTCAATAAGATATTGCCTGGTTTCACTATACTTTTTGTCTGAACCTAGTCACTGGTTAAGTTTTATTATTAATAAACATTTATCTTTTCATAACTCTTCGTTCATTTTGAACGAATCAAAGTACCTAACTTAATTGGGTTACTATAAAAAAAAATAAAACCACACGAACATTTTATTATAATATTTATTAATACTCCCCTCTCTCTTGTTACAATTTATTTACAAAATACAAAAACAAAAACGAACCATTTGTAATTAAATATTCGATTTAGACATTGAAACATCGTACGTAAAAATTATTTTTAGGTACACTCAACATCGTCCTACGTTACAATTTAAGGAACATAGCTAGTTATATTTCAGCTACCGTACTATAGTTATATCAGTTAACTACTTTACAAGTTATACAAGAGGTGGAAAGTCAACAGGTCGAGGCGATAAGGTTGGTTGTACACGTGCTTGGTTTTATTTTTATTTTAAAAATGGCAATCTCCTCCACTAGGATGTATAATAATAAAATTCATTTTAGATTATTGCATCCATATGGTATAAGTAACAATTAATTCATTCGTTTGTATGTTTCTATTTAATGCAAATTAATTTAAATCAGTGTATCTCAACTGAAGTCAATTTTCAACTGAATTATAGTCGAATCAATAACAATTGAACTTCTTACAACCGTTTTACACTTTAAAATTAATGCTATTAAAGTTTAAAATTGGTGCTACAACATAAGATTGTGTGCTGGATTTGGTTACGCTTATCTTATCTTGTACATTACGTGATACGATCAATTTGAAAGGGGTTTCAAAAACTGTTCCGAATTTCAAGATTAAAGTGGAGTTAATATCAAGGACATTATGCTGGAAGTCCTCAAAATCAAAACATCGATAACCCGAAAACAATAATAACTTGGGCACCGTAGGCAACATATGAGTATTATCAAATTATTTCATTATAAATGGGCTAGAAGTAATAGAACATCAATTTCAATACGTAGTAATTTTTTAACATTTAATAAAAATAAACTTGGAAGAAATATCACACTATTCTTTAAACATTGATTCATTTACTATTTGTTTTCATTTGCATTTATTCGCCACGCTGGTATTATTATTGATTATTTTATATACAATTTTCAGTTATCATCAAACAATGTGATATAAAAAGAATGATCATAGAGCACTTATATAACTATATTTTATTAACAATGAAATTAAACTCTAATAATTGCGACGATTTCGTTTCTTTGCGCAACAGTCAAACGGAGAACAGTCTATAGAAATTTAATTAGTTCATTTATTTGTCATTATTACCTAGAATTTAATTTATTCAGCCTCCTTCCATATTATTTTTTCTAATAAAAATAAATTGTTGTTTTTATACACATAGTGTATATAAGATTGGGAGTCATTGTGTTTTCCTAACCAAATTTGATTAATATATTTTTTTTATATTGATTAATCGTCTATCTTACTCCAACTGTCTTATTTTTTTATATAGAGAAGGACAGGACGATAAAGTTTAGGTATCAGATTACGTTCTGGGAACAGACTTTTAAAAAATCCAAAAGTAAAAATCTGAAACCACTGGAATGTATACGCAAATTTTGGAAACTTGATAACGAAAGCACGAGTTACAATTAACACTGTTGGTGAAATTCTGATGGTACACACCTACTTTCTACACAAAGGGGTTAACTATTAATTTAGGGTAAATTACTATTAATTTTGGTTAAATGGTTAATTCATTTTATCATTATTTAATATATGAAAGGAGGCTGCATTATAACTTATCAATAAAATTGTTCTAAGAACATAAAAAAATCAATTTTTATACACCACTCGAATGGTGGAACAACTACTAGAAGTATTTTTTTCTTATTACAATAAACTCGTTCAATTATTTACAACATTTTGAAATATTTACAATGCGTTTTCTGATATAAACCTTTTAATTCTACAATTACGTATAATTTTACTATATACAAAAATCTCTTAGTTTTATTACTTATAATATTATTATGCTTGTAGAAATTCCTTACATGTTTTTTCGTTTCAAATTAATCCGTTAACTATGATTAACTAAATATCACAATGAAATGGAATGAGCGATCATTGAAATACTAAATAAATGTTATTTTATAAGTTGTCATATATATATGATTATTTGAATATAAAATAAAATTATATCATAATGAAATATAGAACCAGTTGTTATAATTATTCATATCGCGTATAACCCTTAAGCCTAACCGTATCTATCTTGATCTTCATTCATTAATTATAAATTAATAAAATTAATGCTTTTTTGTATGGAATGTTATAATTTAATTTTGTTTTTGTGGTTTGTAGTTAATTATATCACAACCTATTTCCTTAGGTAGGTATATATTTTATTAGAGATAATTATTTAAGGTATATAAAAGTAAGAAAAAGAAAGATCCTATTGAAATCAATATTTCGCAAATTAAAATAATACATAATCGTATCATTGCAGCAAGCTTTTGCTACCTTTGTTTAAAAGATTACTTAAAATTAGTCCAACAAACTTTGCTCGAAAGCTTAGTTCATGTCTTAGGAAACAAATTACAAATTGAAACTTCTAAAATAATACATAAAGCTTCCAGTTATCATCTTTCTCCATTTGCCATCAGAAAAGCTACCGTTTCCCTAAACCGTTATTTCGTGTTATAAATAAATATTTTTACACAACTCAACACAGAGTACATACCATAGATAGTTTCTTTTAATTTTTATCAAAGAAGTTCCTTTAAGTCGTTCTATTTTCAAATCTATTTTTCAATCTGCATAGAGCAACTCGCTCGGTATCTAGGCTGATCATCTGCAGGCCATTGTGGATAGTAGGTATGTGATCGCCGCACAGCCTAATTGAGATGTGAGGTATGATGATGCTCTGTTGCTCGTCTGCATTGCCGCTGGATGTTCGCCTATCAACAAACAAATAATTATGACAAAAAATTCATAATGAAATTCCTAATAGGGATTAAAGTTTTCTTGTAAATATTCTGATGTTGTGTTTTTAACATTTCAGACGTCCATAACACAAAAGCTTTACAACTGATGGAATTCAATGATGTGCCTGCCCAGGATAAATTTCTAATCGCCGCAAATATCGGCCAATCAAAATTATTCAAGTATCATGCCGTCCGGTCATCCACCAATCCACGCGTCTGAGTATAAGTGAAAACTCTTAATATATTTTATTTTACAGGTTATGGTTATTGCAATAAGATTTATAATACATATTATGTGCCATATTAATTGGCACTTACTGTACCGTGAGATTACCTATCTATTTATTTTTATTATCATTAATACAGTTTAGTCTCATCATAGGTATAAATTTGCAGAAGCAAGGATACAGGATTTGTTTGAATCGAAAAAGGTTTATAACCTCATCAAAATGATTAAAAAACAATTTATATATACATATATACTTATTTATAAGTTACAAGCTGTTTTCCAGCGCCTTTCCGGCGCAAATGATGGCCTATGTCACCCGCGTATGATGAACATAGATACCCGTGGGTAATGGAATTTTTAAAATCGATACAGTACTTTCGGAGACAATTCAATGCAAACAAACAACCGATTAAATATTTCCTCTTTATAATATTAGTAAAGAAACAGCTGGCAACAGTGAAAAAAGAAAAATTGAAACTTATATTAAATTAAAATCAACGTTCAAGAAAGACTTCATTAAATTTCTGTCGAAAAGTATCTAATTAAACCACTGTCCTCATTTGATACATAATTAAATATACCAGATATTTTTTAATTTAGATGATCCTAGTAAACTTACTAAAAGTTCTTTTGAATCGTTTATTATCTTTATAAGGGATTCCGAGTGGATCAAAGTAAGGTTTATTTATCGGCAGTAATACTTTAATTAACGGCACAGATTAGTAAGGGTTCCACTTAATTTAGGTGTAACGAGTAATAGTGGCGTACTGGCATCTCTTTCACTCATATTCGATATTCTATTTGTCATCTATTTGAACTCTCAGATTATCTTAATAAAAGAGAAGTTTATTCTTCAGTCTATGAATAAATAAGGCTACTTTATTATTATAGACAGATTTCAAAGATTTTAATAGAATTTTACCCATAAAACAAATGGTAACTTCAATATTAAAAAACTTCGAACCCAAACGGGGTATTTATTAACGAGCAAAAAAGCAAGATGTTTCTGCACCATCCGCGAACACTCGTAGATAAACATGCACCAGCGGCAAAAATCTTGTCACCGTATAGGTTAATTACCCCTTTACGAAGTATTGTCGAGTCAAGGTCTCCCACCTTGACGTGTCAGTGCATCTGATGTAGCCCATGCACGCGTATATATGTATATGCTAAAGGTTCACACATATTTTGAAAAGATCATAATAAGCTATACCAACCAATGTTTATAAATATAAAATAAATAATCAAATGCTTATTACGTATTCCAATGTCTGATTTCATCCAAAATCTGAGTGAATAATTATACAAATCCATCTGTCAACAAAACTAAAATATGAAGCTTCCGTTGTGTTAGAAAAGTTTATAAAGTCAATTTAATGTACAGCGCGGGTCAGGAGTAGAGTGCAAATGTGTGTTAGTTCAAGTTTGGAATGAAATAGACCGTTATCTAATGAAATATTAATAATATGACCATCACAAAATTATAGCAAAAGTTCATTTTTTTATAGCTACAACGGTTTGGCAACCTGTCAGTATTCGATGACAAGTAACATATATAAGTTATGTATAACCTTATGATAAATACCTTATAATACGATATGTATAATATCTTTTAAGATTGAACCTCTAGTTTGTTGATTTTTTTTACCAACAAAAATTACTTTTGTAATTTATAGCGTTTCAAATGAAATAATATTATTGGAGGCAGCACAATCACTGCTATGGTATTCTTAAGAGATATTCTTTTAACGCAATATCTTATCGAGCACGGTTAAGGTTGAGTCATTTTATCGTTAATAGTTTTGGTTATTTCGTCTGGTATTAGCAGCTAGTTTTGATGTCTTACGGAAGCCAAGAGTTGCCTACTCTCATGTGCATTATTTGGAAAATGGAATATGAGTATTTGAGCATACAGATAATAGAATATAAAATTGAACGTTTTAACTATCAATAGCTCGGTAGTATACCGTTTTAGGGGATTTTATTTTTCATCGACTAAAATGTCCATATTATTATTATTATTATACATTAATATCCTATTTGTAATGTTCAGAAGGAATAATTGAAATATTATTTTAATAACAATAAATATTATATAGTGTCTTGTTTTTACTACACACAATAATAAAATGTACGTAGTAGGTATGTATGTAGGTATATATATTTAGAAAAGCGCTTCGGCCTTTCTAAATATACCTACTTAATGAATAAAACTTATTGTATTAATTAAACAAAATTAATTCGTTAACTTAACAATAAATTTTTATTCATGTCTTGTACTAGATTTTTCTAATTTAATTTGAAAATATTTTAGGAAAATACTAAGTAAAATTTCAGTCTTGTTTTATTTTTTTAATCCATCAGACTATTCAAATTTTTAAGTTTTATAACATAATCATGTACTTTGTTTATTTTTTGTACTTTATGTTAAATAAGAAAGAGCAACATCGATACGAAAATATTTGTGAGCTAGAAGGAAATCTCTACTGAAATAAAATCTAATGTGTTTAAATTTAGGGAATGTTATCCACAAAAAATATTTACTGGAATAAAAGTATACATTTATATTAAAAAATGCTTAAAATCTACCACTTCCTGGTTCTGGATTGGGAAAGTTTGTGGCTTCAAGTTCCATCTCGGGTACCTTTGGCTCGTGCATTTTCAAGCAATTTTCATTATAAATGTATACGTTTATTCTGCTAAATAATTACATTTCTCATAGCATTGTAAATACAAAATTAATCAAATCTTGTAAAAAGTATAAATGTTCATCAACCCAATATAAAAATATTTTACTTATATTCCAACGAAGTCAATTGACCCATGTTCATACAAAGAGAGAGAGAAATATTTTTATTTATAGCGGTAATAGTACAACAAAAATATATTCGAAAAGAGAGAAGTCACTGGAATAGTAATTTCTACGAAAGTTATCTATTGAAAGCATGATAGTTTTAACTAGTCGTTCGGATTAAGCTAGCTGAGCTTTAGCGTAGACTGTGGTTCAAAACTAATCGCTTGAAAGCACCAAGTTATCGTTTTCAATCGGTTTAAAAAGGTTTAATACTTGTTGAATTGATAACTTTGAAAGTCATTTAGAGTCATACTAGTTTGTTAAAGTACTCTTGAAACTAGGATGAGCATATTCGTTAAGGGTTATTCAAAGCATTTTTTTCGATTCTAATATCAGGCTCCAGTAATACATCGTCAATTTGATATTCAAAAATAGGTTTGGATTTCCATATGGTTTCTACATCCATCCGATTTCAAATTATAGATTAATTTAATCATTATTTAATCAGCATTTCTTCTATAAGCTAGAAGTATGTTCTTTTACTTTGCAACTGAGGATGCTTATTTTAACTCTAAAACCTATCTAGCAGTACCAGCATTAATGCCATCAATATAATGGTCTACAACTACAAAAAAGTATATGGCACACATTCTCGAAATATTCCATTTTTATTGTAATGAAAGTTATCCTTCCATGATCTCATCATCACTTTAAGAACGGCGCCATCTCTCGCCCGTACCGTTAAGCACGTGCACCGACACAGAAGCAGGGTGCGCGTTATTCGGCACGCACGTGTAGTTCCCGGAGTCGCTGAGAGCCGCTTTGGTAACCAGAAGCTTGCTGGTGGTGCCACCCTCAGTCTTCTCCGTTTCTAGGCTGATGCCCCCTCGGGGCGAGTCAAAGTCGACTACGGCGCTGCCGTGATACCTGTTTATGAAAATAAATGTCATTTTATAATCTTTTTAAGTTTGCTAGTGATATTATAACATTATTATTGTTGCAGAGCCCTTAATCAGAGTTTTAATTCGCAACAATCGAGCTGGAGATTAAATAAAAAAAAATGATTGTACTAATTACTGTCATTTTTTATTCTAACTAATAATTCTAACTTAAAATTATACATGCTGTCAAAGTATATTTATTACATGCGTTGAACAAACTATTGACTTTCTGTTTCAGTTCAATTTTATTAAATGAAAAAGAACCAAGGAAAGTTAAAATATATTGTGAAGTTGCTTTATAAATCCCACCTCTATCTAACTTAAATGTTATTGTTTCTAGTTTATATTCTCAAGACAAGACATCCGTTACAAAATTCTACATTCCGAAAACGCTCTCCGAATTTACCATAGCACAGATGCACTGGATGGTGGAGACGAGTGCACATTCACGGAGCATGTTAGCGATATAGTGCTACCCTTCTTCACGTATACATCTTGCGAGCCCCAGATGCTAGCCGCAGCCGCTGCAACAAAAGAAATACAATTTCAAAATGAAATTATCTCGAAGAGTCTTATTTTACAATTTGCATAATATTTTTGACGTATATGTCATACAAACGAGTTTCTATGATTAAACGTGCTCAGTGCATTTTCACATAATTAAATAATTCATACCTATTTACAACAGAAATATAGATGCTATTGAGATCAACTTCTTACGAACCTGATATACCCAGTTTTACATTCTGAACAATCATCAATAACTTCATGTAAAGTCACTTCTTTGTTTTCATGCGGGTTTCATACGACATTAACTGGTCAATAAATGTTCTCCGTATATAATATTTCCAATTTAGCTTAACAATATTTCCACTCTTACTTGATAAAGGCCTTCCTAGGATTGAGTAAAACGCAGAAATTAGGTTAGAACCATTCACGCGGTTCTAGTGCTGTTTGACGGATGTTGACTACTGCAGATGCAGCCAGGTTTAATGTATCTAATTACTCGAGGTCCGCTCGAGGTGAATTTGATGAGCCATCCAGTGACCAGCCATTGAAAAATTTACTTAGCCTCCCGCGAATCATAATCATAGAACTCATAATTTTCACATGTCGTCTGTTTCATTTACTCACTAATTTTCCTTTAGTGTTTCTTCCAATAAACCCGGGAACAATTTCAGTTAAACTATAATCACCTACACCAAGTTTCGCAATAACTACAAAACTTAGAGAAATAATACATGCCATACAATAAATTTGCGTCTTCCAAATTAAACAACAACTATCAGAAATTTAAGACACATACCAAATTATAAATTGTCATTCCAAACAAAACACAGTCTCATGCGATGTGAGTGAGAAATCACTACCAAAATTAATTGAAATAAATGAAGTATGCCACATAATGAAGTACTGAAGGATCGAATACCTGAGGAGCGGGGCGGGGCCTGGGTCACGGGGATGAGGGAGTCATCTGGAATTCACAAGACAAAAGCTTAGGAAGGGTGTGAAAGTGAGAGAGGAAATACATAACAGCAATTCGGCCATAGATTCAATTATGATTATTTATGTGCTAAAAAAACATATATAATTTTATAAGTGCCTTTAAGTTTTTGTGGTTTAGTAAAGAATCAATTTGTAGAAAGTTTGTGATAAGACCTCAAAAAAGAACCAATATATCTTTAGAGATTGCTTTTGTCATTATATAGTGCTATTATAATTATTAGAGGCTATCAAAAAGTAATATCGTTCTCAACTTACCATGAACTTCTGCATCTAAAGAGAATTTATAATAAAGTGTTAAATTTAGCAGTAGTATATAGTATCTAAAATAATCAGCAAAAAAAATGTTAATTGGTAATCAAAACTAATCGGCAATTAATAAAATAAACTTAATAACTACTAACAATATCACTGAAAAATTTTACCTATAATTTTGTTTCAGATAAATATTACAAACGAGACATAAGATAGACACATATCAAAATTGAATGTAAAACGGAATGTCAATATTAAAACAACGCAACGCTGACAAATTTTGCAGTCATATTTTAAAACCTCCATAAATTTACTAAAACACACGCGAACATAAAAGGACATAAAGAAAAGCCCGCAATTTATATAAAAAATTATGCTGAACATCAATGTCAGTCATTTTTCAACCATAACAAGCTATTTAATAGGCTGGCGATTTGAGAAGTTTGCGTGATATTATCTTTACTGGAGCGAACTTTCATAAAACAACATAAAATAGTTAACTTTGATATTTGTCAATGTCTATGATTTTACTATTTATATTGTAATGTGTATATTGTGACGGGTTCCATACTTAGGCAAATGAATAAAAGGCTGACCAAACTTGAAAATTTGATTTATATGAGAGTAAAAGAAAATAAACCCGTTTCTGGGTTTTCGATAATAGATAAATCTTGGTAGATATTTCACGAATATTTCAGTAACCCGGTATATATACTTTTAGATTTACATTTTCTTATTTAAATTATAATAACTTTATTATTATTAGATTTGATTATTTAAATGTATATGATTAAATTATCGCGTTCAAACCAGATTATTTTTTTACGAACTGACAATTATTAAGAGCACATTGGATTATTCTAGATTTAAATTACGAAAGGTGAATAATAAAAGAAATTATGTTGAAAATCAAAGACAAAAAGTTTGCATGCGGATACTTAGGTCGAAATAAGCGGTTGGTGGTATGACGCACCCTTACAATATTAATCAAGCTCCGAATACATAAATAGAATTAAGGAAAACATAAAGCTATTTATACAGTTCGAGAAGTAACATTTATACAGTTCGAGAAGTAACTACACATAAATATGAAGTAACTACATATAATATATTTGCAATGTTAAATCTACTCGTATTCAAATTAAACTGGAACTTAAAATGTAACGTAATACATTAAATAACAGTAATGTCAATATAAAACTCGTGTACCGTGTAAGGAGGTTTGATCTTAACAAAACGGTAAAATTAATTAGAGAAGGAAATTGAAGTTCAAATAATACATATAGAGAAACCGATTATTAGAACAGTAGTAAGGTTTCTAGTTACACACAGCTTTTCCTTTATTGAACATAACAATACGTCTGATTAATTAATGTTATATGAGTTCTCAGTAAAGGGTCTCTAGAAGCAAACCAAATAGTTTTAATTCACTTTCTGCTTTCAAAGCAAGCCATCTGAATAATACCGCTTTCTGATTTAAATCGGTTAAATAAAATGTGAATAGATTCACGTACAAAATATTCTAAAGATTCTTTAGAATAATAATGTAGATTGTAATTGTTAATAATGTACCGTATAAAAGACATGCTTGTTCATTTTTGAAATGATTACTTATTTATTGGATTAAAGGAAATTGATAAATTAAGCTGTTTTGATTTTGAATCTTTTTTGTATTTGAATAAAAACAGCATTTGACACTGTCTATATTAATAATATATTATTTACTATGACCACAAGTATACTACCGCATTGCCTGTGTGAAAATTACTACACTTGCAATAGATAGCAGTATTAATCGAACAGTCCTTAATAATTCTGAATTAGAAATCATGTTAAACAAGATCCGGGAGTCCAACAAGGGAGCAATTTGGGTCCACTTTGGGTGGTGGTTATTACAATGGTAAATAGTAAAAGTCACGTCGTACGTTTTGCCATGAAGCATTAAAACGTTTGTTACATTTCATTATTAAAAATGTATATAAGGTTAGTTTTAACATTTAATGAACCGAAGTGATAATTATACAAATAAAATAAGTTTAATATATATTCAAATCATACCGTCAATATTTTCTTTATATTATGGAAGACAACATGAATATTCGTGCAATGCTGATGAGATACTTTCATAATCAGAATATTATAAATATTAACCTCATAATAAATTCAGTAGAAAGATCAAATGAACGGAATAACAGATTAAAATACTTGGAGGTTTTGGCTTCACATGGTCTGCTCCCTGGTCATTACCTGCCAACTAGGGGAAACAGTTGCCTTGATCATGTTCTCCTAAAACTAGAAAAAACGAAAAACTCTGCAACTGTTGTAGTTCTTGACAGTACAATAACAGATCACTTCATGGTGACTCTAAATGTGTCAAATTTAACAAATGAAATAGCTTCCAAATCAAATACTAGAAATTATGTCAATTATAATAATGCATACGCTGCCCTTTTCAGCAATGATATTTCCTATTTTAATACATGTAATGATGCAAATATATTGGCAAATAAACTTGTAAACATGATAAAAAAGGCTTTCGTTACAAATACTAAAATAAGGACAGTTTCATCAGGCAAACGAATTTTAAAACCGTGGGTGACTAGCGGTGCCCTACGCTGTATTAGGCTGAGAAATAACATGCAGTATAAACTAAGACAAGAACCAGAAAATAAAATTTTACAAATTACATATAAACGCTTTCGTAACTATTGTGTAAATTTGTTGAGAAAACTTAAAACACAATATAATAAGAAAAGAATTGAGGACTCAACAAAAAACAACAAAGAGCTGTGGTCAACAATAAATGAAGTAAGTCAATTCAGGGCTCCAAAGAGTTCAAACTCTAAACTCTTAAATATGTTACCAAACCCCATAGATTCGATAAACTGTGTAAATCAATTTTTTATTAGTATTGGAAGTACTTTAGCTGAAGATATTATTTCTAACTTTGGTATACAATTGAATAAAGTGAATTCTACCATACAAACATCTTCATTCGTTCTGATGGAAACAGATCCTGAAGAAGTAAATGGGATTCTTATGAATATTGATTCTAGTAGTTCTCCTGGTTGGGATTACATTCCTACGAAATTTGTTAAGCAAGCTAGAGATTTTCTTGTTCCTCTTATGAGTCGATTGGCTAATTTGTGTTTTGAAATGGGAAAATTTCCTGTGGTTTTTAAACGCTCTATTGTTACACCGGTTCATAAGGGTGGAGATGTAAATGATGTAAATAATTATAGACCTATATCTGTACTTCCCTGCTTCTCTAAAATACTAGAGAAGTTATTAAACAAAAGACTTGTTAAATATTTAACTACTTACAACATTATTTCTAACTCCCAATATGGTTTTAGAAAAGGACTTTCCACTCAGGACGCTGTTTTAGATTTAACTAAATTAATTACTGAAAAAGTTGATAACGGATATAAGTGCCTTACCGTCTTTATAGATCTTAAAAAAGCATTCGACAGCGTTTCTATCCCTATTCTATTAGATAGACTTGAAACTATTGGTATTAGAGGCATAACCTTATCTCTCTTCGAAAGTTATCTTAGTGAGAGGACACAAATGGTTAAAATCGGTGATTATTGTAGCGACGAGGGAAATATTAATTATGGAGTCCCGCAAGGTAGTGTACTCGGCCCTACGCTCTTTCTTATATATATTAACGATCTATGTACATTACAGAATTGCAATAGTCGGATATTTTCTTATGCAGATGACACAGCGGTCGTTTTTTCTGAGAAAAGTTGGGATGAAGTGCAGACTGCAGCTGGTATAGGCTTGGCTGTTATAGCTGATTGGTTAAAGTCAAGTCTACTTACTCTTAATGCATCCAAGACTAAATATATTTGTTTTACTCCTAGTCAAAGAACTCAGCCTACCACTAATTTTCAAATAAAGATACATCGTTGCGGTAATGCACAGAACCAGAACTGTGATTGTCCTATCATTGATAAAGTGGTTTCTACCAAATATCTTGGAGTAATTGTGGATTATAGACTATCATGGCACAGCCATATTGAAATGATTATTTGTAGAATCAGAAAATTGATGTGGATTTTTAGAACACTTCGAAATATAATGACAAAAAATCTTTTAAATAAGGTTTACATAGCACTTGTTCAATCGATTATAACCTATTGTATTCCGGTCTGGGGAGGAGCTACTAAAATGAAATTACTAGTACTTGAAAGGTCTCAAAGATTACTTATTAAAATGATGCACTCCAAACAAAATAAATACGCAACAGAAAGACTTTATAGCGACTGTAATTTACTTACGATTAGAAAATTGTATATTTTAAAGATTATTTTGAAAGTACACACAACTTTAGATTTTGATCCAAAAAAACTTAATAGGCGTCGTAGTAATGTTGTGGTCAAATCATTTAGGAGTCATACAGCCTTCGCAGAACGTCAATATAACAGTCAATCAGCTTATTTATATAATAAATTAAATAGGAAACTAAATATATATGATAAACAGTTGTATGAATGTAAAGATATATTAATAGAATTCTTAAAAACTCTTACATATGAGGAAACTGAGGACATATTGAAAAGAATTAACTAAATAAGTACTATGTGTATGTGTATGTCGCAGTCGAGTGGCGTGGTCGGCCGGCTGACTGGGTTGCTAATTGTGCCGCTTGGCTGCGAATATAATAAACATAATACATATAACATACATATACATATACATACAAATACA